GGCAATGGTGGGATGTAACTAAGTACAAATACTTCATTACTGTATTTAAGTACATTTTTCATGTATCTGTACTTTACTTAGGTAGAGTTAAATGTGCGTACTTTATACTTTTACTCACTACATTTTACATCAAGGATCTGTACTTTCTACTACACTACATTTCTAGAATGCGTTGCATTACAAGTTACATTCATGTTGTGGCTTTTTGATTTGTTTGTTACTTTGAAAGTAACCAATGGTGAGAGGGGAGCTGGTCCATTGAATCACTGCAAAGTGGGCAGGTAACGTTAGGCCTGCCTTCAAGAAGAGATGGGCCAATTACATATATTCTAGTATATATGTCACTGAGCTGGGTGCAACCGCAGCACCGCTAACACACCCAAAATGTATTCCACCACAAGAGTCAGCCAGAAGATATGCTCCACCCATGGCCTTATTGAAAGACTGCTCAGTACAACAGGACAGAGTCACTCTCCAAAAAGAGCCAGATTGGACTCAAAAATCTTTGAAAACCAACTTCTTCTGAACTTGAACAAGACATTCTTGCTGCAATATTAAAATGTGTCAGTTCATGGGATGTTAGGACAGGAGACAAGACATGTCTCCAAATGGCTCGACACTCGGGTCAAAGTTTTAAAAATGGTGTCAGGAAGTTAAAATATTGTTCAATATTGACCCATTACAAGGTTGAATAGACAGTATTTTAACTAGAGTTGACAAACTGGAGTTGAAATATCAGTGGAAATGATCAGAGCCTATTCCTTTGTTAGTTGTGTCTAATGCCCCTTTTGTTCAGACAGACATCTTTTACTTATATGTTTTTACTGCAGTTTAAATGACACATGGGTTTTGCTTTGTGTTAAATAGAAACTTTCAAAGGTATAATCATTCCTCTTTCTTATTTTGCTGAATTACATTTAACTCTGCATGTCATCCCTGAAATTCTGACGCACAGAATCACAAGTCCAAGTGTGAACTGTGTCACAGAGTAAACACAATAAAAACATGTATTATCTGCAGCATTGTTCATTAAAATGGCTCAACACTATTAATGTAATACAGAAAATGGTAGGCACACTTAAAGATATTGTAGACCATTGCATTAGGTAATACATTCAGCAAGTACTTTTACTTTTAATACTTTAAGTATTTTAAAAGCAAGTACTTATGTACTTTTACTTAAGTAAAAATGTTAATCTGGTACTTCTACTTTTACTAGAGTGCATTTTTGTCCGTTTATTTGTACTTTTACTTAAGTACAGTGTTTGAGTACTTTCCCCACCATACCTGGATTATTGAGCATGGACTTTGTTGCACTATGCATAGGTGCTTCACTTTAGCCGGCTCTCTTATTACCCTCTGACCTTCCAGATTTAATAATGCATTGAACAGTTCTCAGCTCCTTAGATGTTTTTCTGCTTTATGCGTGTCAATATGTTGACTCTTCTTAAACAAATTAACTTCTTTTCCACCACCACAGGATTGGTCTTTTGACATGTTTGTTTGACAAATGAGAAGCTACTTGCTGCATCAGTGAGAGATAAATACAGTGCCTTGCGAAAGTATTCGGCCCCCTTGAACTTTTCAACCTTTTGCCACATTTCAGGCTTCAAACATAAAGATATAAAATTTAAATTTTTTGTGAAGAATCAACAAGTGGGACACAATCGTGACGTGGAATGAAATTTATTGGATGTGTCAAACTTTTTTAACAAATAAAAAACTGAAAAGTGGGGCGTGCAATATTATTCGGCCCCCTTGCGTTAGTACTTTGTAGCGCCGCCTTTTGCTGCAATTACAGCTGCAAGTCACTTGGGGTATGTCTCTATCAGTTTTGCACATCGAGAGACTGAAATTCTTGCCCATTCTTCCTTGCAAAACAGCTCGAGCTCAGTGAGGTTGGATGGAGAGCGTTTGTGAACAGCAGTCTTCAGCTCTTTCCACAGATTCTCGATTGGATTCAGGTCTGGACTTTGACTTGGCCATTCCAACACCTGGATACATTTATTTGTGAACCATTCCATTGTAGATTTGGCTTTATGTTTTGGAGCACTTTCTTGTTGGAAGATAAATCTCTGTCCCAGTCTCAGGTCACTTGCAGACTCAAACAGGTTTTCTTCCAGAATGGTCCTGTATTTGGCCCCATCCATCTTCCCATTAATTCTGACCATCTTCCCTGTCCCTGCTGATGAAAAGTAGGCCCAAACCATGATGCTGCCACCACCATGTTTGACAGTGGGGATGGTGTGTTCAGGGTGATAAGCTGTGTTGCTTTTACGCCAAACATATCTTTTTGTATTGTGGCCAAAGAGTTCGATTTTGGTTTCATCTAACCAGAGCATCTTCTTCCATATGTTTGGTGTGTCTCCCAGGTGGCTTGTGGCAAACTTTAAACAACACTTTTTATGGATATCTTTGAGAAATGGCTTTCTTCTTGCCACTCTTCCATAAAGGCCAGATTTGATTGTTGTCCTATGGACAGACTCTCCCACCTCAGCTGTAGATCTCTGCAGTTCATCCTGAGTGATCATGGGCCTCTTGGCTGCATCTCTGATCAGTCTTCTCCTTGTTCAAGATGAAAGTTTAGAGGGAAGGCCAGGTCTTGGTAGATTTGCAGTGGTCTGATACTCCTTCCATTTCAATATGATTGCTTGCACAGTGCTCTTTGGGATGTTTAAAGCTTGGAAAATCTTTTTGTATCCAAATTCGGCTTTAAACTTCTCCACAACAGTATCTCGGACCTGTCTGGTGTGTTCCTTGGTCTTCATGATGCTCTCTGTGCTTTGAACAGAACCCTGAGACTATCACAGAGTAGGTGCATTTATACAGAGACTTGATTACACACAGGTGGATTCTATTTATCATCATCAGTCATTTGGGACTGTGGGAATTCCAGCCTTTTGCTCAACAGCTCTTCTCCACTAGAGGGCGCCAACAAAGATACACCTGAGATCCATTGAGGTATAACGATCAGCAGAAGTATAAGTACCAGCTGAGGACTTCATTCTACGCTGCTGCATTGTCTGCCTTTGGTAGTAAGCTCCTGGCTTGAACATTTGCTCTTTGTGCTTTAAAATTATTAATCTTTGTGCTCATGCTACAGCTCTGACCTCTGTGTTTCACCTACATCCTGGATCTCATGATAATTACTCTCGACCCTTCCTGGACTCATCTCAAGCTGCTCCTTGCCTTCCACCACTTGCTCACGTACACAGGTTCTCCTGGAAACCTTTTTGGACATCCACTGACTGACCTCCTTATCCTACAGTAAGAACTACTTCTCTGGACATTTTACTGCCCTTGAGATTTCTCCTGGCCTGCTTTAACTTTGCTCCTTGCTCTCCAGGGTTCCAGCCTCTCCCCGGATAGTTATCTCACCAATATCATTGTTTTCACTTTTGTAAATAAACACTGTTTAACTTTCCCTGGTCAAAGTCTGTTTGCTTTTGGTCAGTATTTATCTGGGTGTTAGAAACCTTACAGGGACAACATTGGATCGTTCATAGATCCTCATTGAACTTCTGGAGTGAGTTTGCTGCACTGAAAGTAAAGGGGCCGAATAATATTGCACGCCCCACTTTTCAGTTTTTTATTTGTTAAAAGAGTTTGACACATCCAATAAATTTCATTCCACTTCACGATTGTGTCCCACTTGTTGCTGATTCTTCACAAAACAATAAAATTCTATCTCTTTATGTTTGAAGCCTGAAATGTGGCAAAAGGTTGAAAAGTTCAAGGGGGCCGAATACTTTCGCAAGGCACTGTATCTTGTTGCCAGCTAAACCAGGACCACTCATGCAGTAATTATCCACTGAAAGACTTGTTTGCTTAACTAAATCTAGGTGCTGACCATTTTTGACCAGGCAGTGTATTTTACTAACAAAAAAACCCCAAAAAAACAGACTGACTCCAAATGTTTCAAACTTTTAAGAAAAAATCTTGATCAATCAACACTCAAAGTATTTGTAATAAATGGCAGCCAGCATCTAAATGTACCTTCAGTTGGATTGACTGCAGAAGTTAATAAGTGGTGTATGTCCATCCATTTATTACTTTTTGAGCATTTAATAAAAATCCATCCAGCGGTTCATGAGATATTTTGCTAACAGACAGAGAAATGCTTGAAACCTAGTAGACAAAAACTATATAACCCACTTTTTGCCTTTCTGCTGCAGGCAGTAATCAATGTATTACTATAGACTTTAATCCCACTGAGGGTTACGTAAGGGATGGTAGCTGCTTCTCATGTGAGCATGTGTTTATCTCTCCGCTGCAGCTGAGGTGCATTGCCCACACACTCACAGGCAGAACATATGCTGCACACAGAGACACACAAATGTTTCAACAGAAAAGCAGCACCGAGATGAGATAATGAAGCAGGTTATAGAAAAGGGGAAGCAGAAACTAATCCTGTTTGAGCACAAAGCAGCAAGATATTTCACAAAAATGAGGTCTACAACAGATAAAGGATTAATGGATGAAAGAGAACAGAGAAAAGACACAACCTTTAAATGAGCAGTCATCACAAACCGACCCTAAATGAGCCTATTAGCAAGACTCACTCCATCCATCTGCTTTAATAAACTGCTTTTTTTTTTTGTGAAAACCATCTAAAAACGAGGAATAGCTGAATAAAAAGAAAATTCATGTCCTATTTTTTTTTTACTTGTGGTTTCTTTTTGGCCCAATCTCACTCTGGAGGGACACAAAAACCAGCGATAGCTTTGTCACATTTTCATTAACACCCAAATCAACACTAATTAACACTATGGTTTAACACAGAGGAACAGAAAGCCTCCCCCTGTCCTATTTTTTTCTCACTTTTTCACATTTTCAGAGTGAAAAAGGCATTAGTTGGTATAAACTGAATAAGCACCTCTTACACACACCCCCTCATCCTTCGAGCAAGATCATTTAGATTTAAATTAAAAAGCAGTGAGTCCAATCCGTCAGAGTTTTCATTTAAAAAAAAAAAACTTCCTCCACTTCTCTCTGTGCAGCGTGCGGCAAGCTGACGGGCATCAGCGATCCCATCACTATCAAGACATCTGGATCTAGGTTTGGCTCCTGGATGACTGACCCGCTGGCACCTGAAGGAGATACTCGGGTATGTGTGACAGTTCTTTTCCAGAAAGCTAACAAACCTAATGTGTCTGCTTGTTCTTATGAGAAAACTGATCAAAAAACATAGTCCCTCATTTCCCCCCTGAGGGTCATTAGGGTCTCTGTTGATCTGGACCACCTGAGACACGTTCTGGTCACATTCATGAATGTGTGAAACTCATTGGGGATTAGATTCAAACTACATTGTAAGTTATACAAAATTAAAGTTGAAATGCCACCCCTCGCACCCAACTCCATTTAAACCCAAATGACCCTCAAGATGGAGGGAAAGGAAAGTGATTTGCATGGGAGTTTAGCTCTCATATATGGAGCTAATTGCAGCAGTTTAAAATGTTAGAATTTTGCTCTTTTCAGTCTGATATAAGAAACCTCTTCAAATGAAAAGTGAGACATATTTAACAAGAGTAACACATATGGCACATTACAGTATATGCCCACCAACAAACTACCATACAGATTACAACAATCAACGGTCCAAACAAGCTTAAAACCTTGTATAACCTTTAACCTTCATTTACAACCTTGACCATAGAGCTGTCATGATGCGAATAGTATGTGTGACACTGTCGCTGGTGCAAATGTTTATCAAGTTTCAGTGGATAAGATGTTATGGGCTTTTACGTCCACCAAGATACAACATATTTGAGGACACGAGACAAAAATTGAGGGTTCAAAGAAAGATTTTATTTTTAGACTCTCCTGATCCTTTGGGTTGGTTCACCTGCTTTTGATTCTCTGTGAAGAGAAAAAAGAGAGAGTTAAATGCCCTCAATTACCCGTGTCCCAAAAAAGAACAAAACCCCAAAGTATTAACTGAAAGTTGGACCTGGTGAGTCAATTACACAGAACAAAACGGTACAGCAGGGGGCCAACCCTATACAGGGCAGTCAAACCCCCTACTTAGTACCGGACTAGAGCAAAAAACTCAAAATGCAAAATAAAGATCGAAAACAGGACTACCGATCCCACCAGGCCAAAATTGCAACGAAAAAACGAGCAAACGAATAAGTCCTAGCAGAACTACCTCATGACAGTCAGCTGCGGCCTGCAGCAACTGGAGATGTGCGCACTGCGCCAAGACGCACACCGGCAGTGGCAGAGCGAGCGGAAGTGAGTGGGAAAAAAAACGGGCTCTCTAACATGTCGAAACCCAGCCTATTTATAGGCGGACCAGCAGCGCCATCAATTAACGTAATCACTACTGATTATCAAAGATTAGAATTATCCCCTCTTCAAAATATATTAACAAAATATCATTCGTTTAAAGTCTATAAACAAAGAAATCGGAAAAAGATAGAAAAAAATAATTATAATGTGCCCAAAGCACATAACACCCCCACCCAAAGACTCTGAATGGGGAGTGATTTAATCGCTCAGAAAAAAAACCTCAACCCATTCAGAGAAAAAGAAACCTAGGACTAAAGTCGTGAGAGTGCGTTGGCCACTACGTTGTCCTTACCACGAACATATTTGACAGCAATGTTAAATGATTGAAGCCGTAGAGACCAGAGCCCCCACATGGTCCACACAATCTTCCATTTGAGGCAGTGGATAACAATCCGGCTTAGTCACCCCATTTACCTTCCTGAAGTCAGTACAGTAACGGTCCTCCCCATTGGCTTTAATGGTCAGGAGGCATGGCGAACTCCACTCACTACTGCTTGCAACAGCAAGTCCATGTTTCACCATGTACTCCACCTGCGTCTTCAAACGGCGTCGCTTGTCCGGGTTCACTCTGTAAGGGCGTTGTTTAATAGGCTTGGAATCACTAACATCAATATCATGGCTGAGCGCACGAGTCTGAGTGGGAATGTCTGCAAACAGTGACCTATACGACTATATCAAATTAATGATATCAGCCTGCTTGGAAACATCAAGGTGAGACGGTAAGAGAGGTAAGTTTTTCAACACCTCTGAATTCGGAAATTTCCCTTCCTTGACAGCTGGGGAAAAGATATCCTCTTCAGGTTCAGTACTGGACAGCTCCTCCTGTGCGTCCGCACTGTCCCATCGACTGCGTCAGCTCGCTCACTGAAGACAACGTCACCTTCAGGTTCAGCACTGGACAGCTCCTCCCGTATGTCCGCACCTGCCCCAACGACTGCATCAGCTCGCTCACTGAAAACACAGCTGACAGTTTTCTTCACAGAGGGTGCACGCTCGATATAAGGCTTCAGCATATTAATATGGCATAGGCGTGATTGTCGCCACTGATCAGGAGTAGAGATCAGATAATCTTGATCTCCGACCTTCCTCCTGATCATATAAGGGCCACTGTAGCGTGCTTGTAAGCTGGAGCCAGGAACTGGAAGTAACGCTAAAACCTTTTCACCAGGCTCAAAAATTCTCATATTTTGTCAAATAAAGACTTCATTTTAGCCTGTGCTGTCTTAAGATTCTCTTTAGCTATCTCGCACGCACGGCTTAGTTTCAGTCGAAAGTTACTGACGTAGTCCAGTAAATTTTGGTCAGTTTTTTCACACAACCACTTCTCTTTTAATAGCCTTAAAGGACTACGAACCGTGTGAGCAAAAACCAAGTCCGACGGGCTAAACCCCAAAGACTCCTGAACCACCTCCCGTATAGCAAAGAGTTGTAAATGTACACCTTCATCCCAGTCTTTTTCGAACTCCAAACAGTAGGTGCGCAGCATTGTTTTTAAAGTTTGATGAAAACACTCGAGTGCGCCCTGACTTTCTGGGTGATACGTGGTGGAGCGACAGTGCTTTATATCTAGTTGATTTAAAACCTGTGCAAATACTTTGGACATAAAGTTAGACCTTTGGTCAGTTTGCACAACCCCAGGTAAACCGAACAATGAAAAAAACTTGGTTAACGCCTTCACAACTACTGGCGTAGATATTTTACACACCGGAAAAACCTCTGGAAAACAAGAAGAGGTACACATCACTGTCACCAAGAACTTATTCCCCCCTTTTGTTTGAGGTACCGGTCCAACATAGTCAACTAATACTCGTTCAAATGGTTCAGCGACGGATGGAATGGGATACAAAGGAGCGGGTGGAATCGTCTGATTTGGCTTTCCAGATACTTGACAGAAATGACACCACTTACAGTAGTGCACGACATCGCTCTTTAAACCCGGCCAAAAGAACTGGCACAATATGTGATCATAGGTTTTTCTAATGCCCAGATGACCGGCTAATGGATTATCATGCGCTAACCGCAAAATTTCTGAATGATATGCGGCTGGAACAACAATCTGTTTAACAATACTCCACTCTTCGACAGGAGAGACATTTAAAGGCATCCATTTACGCATCAAAAGCCCATCGTTCAAGAAATAACCGTTAGAAATTGAGTCCATCTCACCAGGTACCACATCGTTAAACAAAGGTGCCAAGCTTTCATCAGATTTCTGGAGCTCCATCAGCTGCTGTCTAGACAATGACAGAGCATCGCCTCTAATATGTCCCTCTCCATATTTCCCTTTAATTGGACATGTTCAGAGTCAGCGTTGCACAAAAAAACTGTCACTAAAGTCCAAGTCATCTTTATTTTCTACTTCTTGACACCTAAGTGCAGCACGCGTAACTGCGCAAGACGTGAACACGTCTGGGAATGTACGAGCCAGCTCATCTGGGCCGGAGCACAAAATCGGAACGGGTATAACATCCGGGGTAACTAATACACAACCCCCAGCCAAGTCATTGCCCATGATCATGGAGACGCCCGCTATAGGAAAGCTAGGGCGCACCCCAACCACAGCGTCACCAGACCACAGCTCAGACTGGACCACGACTTTGTGCAGAGGAACACCAATGTCTTGCATGTCAAAGCCATGAACTGGCACATCCGAACCCATCGCAGTGTCTTCACTTAACTGTAATATGCCCTCCAAAATAAAAGACTGAGAGGCAGCGGTATCTCGCAATATTTTTACAGGAATTTTCTCACCAGAAGGAGCCACAGAAACAAACCCATCCATAATGAAAGGCCTAAAATCATTATATTCACAAGGCCTTTGTGTTGAAGGTGACTGAGTAAAGTGATTTATAGTTTTAATTAGAGCAACCGGCTTGGTGTTCTTCTTCTTTAAAACCGGGCAATTGGCCACAATGTGTCCCCTCTTCTTACACTAAAAACACATTACATTAGTCTTTAAATCCAGTGCTTGATCAGGCCTACTTTCAACGCCACTGACTGCAGCAGGTATATCAGATTCTACGTGAGAAATAGTTTTTATGCAGTCCTTGCTGTTATTTTCAGATTTGTCAAATTTATGAAAAACATGTGTGCGCTCGAAATTACTTTTGTGCGTTAACATGTACTCGTCAACGAGCACCGCAGCTTTCGACACATCTGACACTTTATTTTCATTCAAGTAGGTGGCAACTCTTTATGGCAAGCTGTTTTTAAAGTCTTCCATCAAAACGAGCTGCTTAAGTTGAGCAAAGTCATTAACATTTTTAGCAGCATACCAACGATCAAAGATAATTTCATCTCTGACAAAATCCACATAAGTTTGATTATAGCGTTTTTTTTAATGAGCGAAACTTCTGGCGATAAGCTTCAGGTACCAGTTCATACGCCCACAAAATAGTGCCTTTAACTTTGTCAAAATCAAGGCTATCCGCCACTGACAGAGACGCTTAAGCCTCCTGTGCTTTTCCACTTAGTGCACACTACAGTAACAAAGTCCACATTTCTCTAGGCCATTGAAGTGCGAGTGCCACTCTTTCAAACAACGTGAACTATTTATCAACGTCTCGCTCATTGACAGGAGGAACCAAGCAAACATTTTTACTAACATCAAAATCCTTTGATTGAGCTTGTGACAACCCAGCACCAAGCTCGAGTTCTTTCAAACACATTTCAGCCTGAATCTCTAGTTTTCGTTGTTCAAAATACAGCTCCTTCTCTCTCAAAGCAAGCCGTCCTAATTTAACTTCTAGTTCCTTTAAACAAACCGGATCATCTGGCAACCAAGCCCGTGATGGAGACCCCACAGGACTTTTTGGT